TTTCCATTCATGTTTATTTCTAATCGTCTGAGTGTCGAATATTCTCATATAAATCGCTTTTAAAGGACTTCACTTTTCAATATGCAAGGATTTTTGTGGTAAGGTTTGTTCAAAGTTGCAGAACTCGTTACTCAACTTCCGTGCTGTGCCCATAATTCCCATGCTTACCAGACGTAGGTGCCACCTCAATTAATGTATGAATAGCTCGAGCTTTTCACGAGTCAGCGCAATCTCCATAACTCCACACTTTTACAGAATATCACCCAGCTTCCCTGGGCGGTATTCATTTTCGAACGGCATAAGTTCTTCGCGTTATGATCCAAGTCCTTATTGCACAATTATGGTTTTAAATTCCTTATTGATTTAGCTCGGTAGGCATTTAACAGTTAAGTTGTTTCAGACCTTTTCTAAGCATTGCAAACTAGAATTCAGACGGTTTATGTTCACTATACATACTTAGGCTGGGGCTAAAAACACCTTAATGCTCCTCTATTCATCCTAATTCATCAGTTAGTTTGTAAAGACTGAAAAAATCGTACCTTAGCATTATAAGTTGGAATAATGCTTGTCCCTTACCATAAAAGGTACAGTTATGGCTCGCGGTTCAACTTGAGTAAGTCAATATGAAGAAGTGTCAAAGATGACTGTCAATAGCACTATTGTTTGTTGCTTTTTGATTGCGTCTTAAGTATCATTCCTCTAAAGACACCTCTCAACCAGCATGATGCTGTGAGTCACTGAGTTATCCCTCGTCCTCTTTCCCAAACTTCGGTTATTAGTTCTTTGCTTTGCTTGTGTCGTAATCTTCAAACGAACTTCTAAGCATGGACTTGTTGGAATTCAAAAACACTTCTAACAAAGATAAACAAACTAAGCTTGAAATGGTGGCATAGCATATATTTAAAGGTATCTTTGATGTGATGGTCGTGCACCCAAAATTTCGTGAGTCGTTGCAACACTGCTAGTAGGGTGACCTTTGTGAATGGATAGGTTTTGTTTTGTGCCATGCCTTTCCACCCAAATTAAACACTTATTTGAGGAAGATATGTTGATCCGGCACCTGCATTTAACGCAGGCAGATAGCGAGTTACTACATTAGTGGAAGAATCCTCATGCACCACTAGCATGATAAGTGTCTTTCCCTCATTCGGTTGAAAGCTTTAGAAATTTCGAACACAAAGTACATGCTTTTATGCATTCTTATGGTGGTGATGGTGCATTGCATGCATGAATGTGAACATAAACCAATCAAGCAACTTTACTGAAGGATCTGAAAAGCGCATCCCTGATCAACTGCACAAGAAAACTAGTAAAGAAGAAGATGGCATCGTGGAGCTTGAGCACAGATTCATGCTGATGCTGGTGTCGCCAACCCTGGTTAAGGGGGGCATTAAATATTACTATAAGTAGCTTAACGCAATTTCAAAGGAAGGCTTAAACAACAATTGCTCGTTGGGACAACTAACTGAACTTCATTGGTCTAAAACGATCGTGTCTTGTCAGTAGAGTCCATAGAAATTCGAGATTCCACTACCTCGAGAGCCAAGAGGAAAGTAGTATTGGATTGATCTGTTGGGGAGGTTAGTTTTTCCCACTTTCTCAGTACTTCATCTATTCCGCATTTGTAAACTTCCTCAGATTGACAAAATCATTTATTTTTCATTTAGTAACATAGAGACTAAGAACTATTGTCTTAAGATAAATGAAAATGGACACTGACAGCAGGAGCTTTAAGTGCATTAGCAATGCACTTCCTCGATTGAGGACTGCAGTCAACTCCATTTTCACCCAGTCGTGCTCCACAAGGTTCGATCAGACTTTCTCCACAATAAAACTTTCACCTCAACTATCGTTTCATGAAATGGATGTTCATCCTCTTTCATGGTTACTCCTCAACCAGAATTTTTACCAACAATGGCACCGAGAGAACGTAAATAAATTTGAAAACATTGGGATCACCACAACTAGGGAGACTATAGTGCGGCTTAATATCATTCGATATAAAAATCCAGTCTACCTTTCCATCGTGCATCGTATCATACGTTCCATACTGAATGCGGAGTTTTACCAATTCTCCTGTTATGGCTTAGCCTATTCATTTACCAAGATCGAGATAAGCTTGGTAATCGCAACGATGCCCACGTGACATCCCTAATCTGGCTTTAATGCTATGCTAAAGTTACATTTTTCATTTTCATTTTTTCATTTTTTTGTGCGTAAAGACTGAAATTATGCACTTGGGCTCTGGATTCCCTCCGCTAACTTCTAATTCGACAATGCGTATTCAAAGGCATTCAGATTCAGTGACGCCCCTATGAAAGGGCTCTTATCGCATTCCCTTCAATGCCACCCAACTCAACATGATGGAAGGTAAATAAAGTGGATGAAACGTCTGTAAACCTTGCAATCCACCGCACCGTCATTCCAGGACATCCAATGAAATGAGGTCAGTCGTGAAACCGCTTGAGCCGAACGACTCTTCAGCCATCGTGAAGAGGCTGATTATTCCCTTTAGCCTACGCCGACCCGTTGGGCAAGAACCAACTCCAATGCTGTAGGAAGGTCTACTTACAGTGGCCTAGTAACGAGCTGTGCTGAACTCTCATTTCCATCTTCAGCCATGACTTCCTTTTACGACGACCCAGACACACTGGGTGCCAGGTTGTGTTAAGTTGCCTTTCGCGAAGACGCCACTGCCGACCACGTCTTCCTCATACCACCGCATGTCAGCTAACAGTGTTATTGGGTTGGCGATTTCTGCCATTACAATGTTCCACTCAGCATGTTGTAACATAGTTTTGGCACTTCAACTACACACTTTCAATGAAATTTGTCTCTTGACTGGCTCTCTTTAGCGCCACCTTACGGAACCAGACAACCGTTTATTCGACCTCCAATTTCACAACACTTTTCCATGACCTCACACACGGAGAAGTGCAAGCATGGCGGTTCTCAAGTCTAGCTTTGCGAATGTCGATGCCCGCTTCGAAGTGGGTGCAAGTCCTGACCTATCGGAGGACCGAACCCACAGTATCGCGATGAATTCACCACGCGAATACGTCCACTCGTATGCGTTAACTTTTAGACCTACATGGTGGTTCTCTTCACCGAACACATGGAGATCAAACCGTGAACAACGCGCCTACTTTCATACACGCTAGTGAAGGCAGAAAGCCGAAAAAACTAGAAGTGGGTGACCGCTTTACAGCACCTTGACTGCGAAGTTGACAGAATTATCCCGTGAATCGTGAGATCTTGTCACAACCGTCACATCAGTAGTTACTCATCGCATTAATTTTGATTTTATAATTTTAATCGATACCACAGGATTCGATAACTTCTTACGGAAAATACAATTCCAAAAAGCTTCATTCTTGAGCTTATGATAAAATGTTGTGAGATCAAAATCGAATTGTCAACCTTACACTTTTAACTCACGTTTTCTTCGAAAGTTTTGTATTAGTTGAAACGGTCTCTCCAAGGTTTTAAAGGCATCAGTATGAACAAACATATCAATGAGCAGGAAATCGTGACGTGAAGTAGCAATTTTAAAAATATGCATTCTGCAAATACTGAATCCAAACGGAAGTAGATGAGGGACAAAATGTTGGAACTCACCCAAAATATGGGTGAGATGGATGAGAGTAAGTTGTGTCACTCCAGAGTGGTTGTGCTGGTATTTATTGACCCTGTTTCACTACCATTTCGACTGAAGCCGAGGCTGCGAGTCTGTGGTTCCTGTTGAATATCAACCACCGTTCTCCAGTTCCGTCGACGCTGCAGACGCTCCATTCTGAATGAGTCAGGATCAAGGCGACAACCGGCTTCCAGCTGTCTGAGCAATTCACCGTTGGCACCCGAGTCCCACTCCAATAGCGTTGCTGCCCACGTGTCGTCGTCCAAGTAATCCAAAATGCGTAGATTCACGCTCTCAGAAAGCTAAATCATCGACGCCTCAAACATGAGCCAGAAATGTTGTTAAGTTGAAGAGGTGATTGTCATCGTCATCATTAACATCTCCAATTGTGATATAATAGAAGGCAAGGAATGAAACACTGAAAAGTGACACTTATCCATCGTCGACTGACGTAAGCAAGGAAGGTTAACATTGTCACAACTTCTTTTGGCTGTTAAGATGGTAAAATCTTACTTACAGCACACTCATTGTTTAAAAAAAATTGGAATATTGTCGTGCCTCGTGTAGGTTAATCCTTATACATTTCGCTAATGCATTTTTTTGTCGACATTGAGCCTCGCCTTAAGGTCCAAAGTAAGTACAGCATTATACGCAACAGAGCAGTGGTTTAATCCAAAGTGAAAGAGGAAGGATTATTTTTCTATGTCTGGTTAGTTAGTTAAGACTCATGGGTTGCCAGTCTCACTGCATTTTTTTGCTGTTGCACAAATGTGTAATTTGTGCACGGAGGGCTAATTTATGAAATGTGGCACCATGTCGAGCCACATAAATGGCACTTACGTGAGTGGTGAAAGTGGCAAGGAAAATACTGCGCTTCAAAAGACGAGCACGAGGTCACTGCGTTTGGTGTATTGCTTTAGCAGAGAATATTATTTTTTAAAGTGAACCCTAACTTTGAGTGGAGAAAGATACAAGACTTTAGCATGTGATTTTGCCTAACTGTTGCCATGCAAAATTGAGACCAAGTATTGCTTGCAAATCAAAATTAATAAGAGATCGTTTTAAGCTTCCTTCCATAAAATTGGCTTTGGTATTAATTAAAAGTGGCGAATGTAACAACCATTCTGATGACTTTTGTGGTCATTATGACTTAATAGTTTAAACGGTAAGGAAAATCATGTAACTTGGCATTAAGGAAACCCTAATGCTACTCTACTTTATCTTAAAGTGCATTCGCCAGAGGACAGATGTAATGCGTTAGTCAGGGTATCTTCATCAGGGGAAAGTGGTTGCAAGAACTGTAATTCGAATGCCAAAATGTTTTCACCTTTCCCAATGTGACGTCATCTTCACTGTCAGTGGTCACATCGCCCGAGGTTTCCAGAGTGGTAGTTGAATCACAGTCCGACTTCCAGGCCTCATTTTCGTCAGGTGAAGTGGTCACGAACTGAGGCAACACAGAGTCGAATGGATGCCTCACAGCAAGACTTACGACCACCACTTGCGTCTGATCAGCCGGCAATGAAGACTCAATCCGCCTAACGGCAATTCTCGTTTCATCGGGCAGTACAAATTCACTCATATATTGGCGTTTCACTCTCTGACTAAGAAGAATGACAGAGGATTGAATGTCGGATCGAGTTTCCCGAAAATGGAAGTCGGCAAGTTGTTGATTTAGATCCATGCTAAATCGTGACTTTACGTGTTCTCCGACATTTGGATCCATTCTCAATGGCTCATAGCAGAGGCGGACAAGGAGGAGAAGGAGGAGGAGGCGGAGGAGGAGGTGGAGGCGGAGGAAGAGGAGAAAGAGGGCAAACGAGGCGCAATGATATGAACCAATGCGGCCATTGATCGTGACCGCTTTTTGACGCGCGAACACGGATTTGTCCTGCTGCCTGATTGGCTCTTTCCACTGCAGGCGGTGGAAAATTTGCCCATTCCCCACTGCAGCGAATAAATACTGTTGGTTGTAGAACTGAAGCTTCTGCACTTGTCCTTCATGCATCATAATGATTGATATTTCAGCAAAATTTATTTCGCCTCATTGAGATTTTGAGGCATGAGAGAGCAGCTGTCCATTTCCTTCGACTTTCACCTTGATGCAGGGCTTGAAACAGTTTGCAGTGACTGCACACAAGAAGACAAGTTTTAAAATGCAATTCATTGCTCCTGTTAGTGCATCTAGTAATAAATGAAAGTTCGTGCTTGTCAGTTCACTTTGTAAAACGGTTGTCTTTTCATCACACTTTCATTTCCTTTTCAAAGCCGACGGTAATCAACAACTACTCTGATAGTAGTTGGTTACGACTTTTAATCAACTAACCCTGATGTACTTTATGTATAGCAGTCAAAGGTACATTTATACTTTTGTAAAATTTACCAAAACGATGTCAATTGACACTCATGCTTAAAGTTGTGTTTCCAAATCCAGACTTACTACTTATTGTTACAAGTAAACAGCATATGCTTGTTCTGTTCTTTTTACAAAATAAACTAATCTGTTCGCTCCATTGTTCGCATGAACGGAAGATGCACTCCTCTCTCGTTATTTTTTGTCTCGAAGTCTGTCTTTTTGGTAGGTGGATGCTTATTGGTTCAGTGATCTTAACATAAAAAATCCAAATATTAGAGGCCACTGATCTCTGCTGCCATGC